GAAGAAATGCATCTTCTGCGCCCCCGAGATTCCAGTCCTCGGGAGCTACGTCAGCAAGGACGGTGTCCGTGCTAACCCCGAGAAAGTGGCAGCCATCTGCGCCTGGCCATCTCCTCAAGACGCGAAACAGCTCCGACAGTGGCTCGGCCTCGCGACGTATCTCCATCACTACTCGAAGAACTTCGCGGCGACAGTTCGTCCACTGTCGCAACTACTCAAGACCGACGCCACTTGGACATGGCGTCCAGAACATAAAGCTGCCTTTGACGCGGTAAAAACGAGCTTGTCCACCGCGCCCGTCCTGATGCTGCCTGACCACTCCAAGCCATTTCACGTGGTATGCGACGCCAGCGACTTTGCCATTGGTTGCGCCTTGATGCAATTCGACGCAGCAGGGTGCGAACGAGTGGTGAGCTACTAGTCGCGCCAGCTGAAACCAGCGGAACGGAATTACCCCGCACACGACAAAGAGCTACTGGTCATGCGCTATGCGCTGCTCAAGTTCCGAGTTTACCTCTTGGGCGAACAGACCTTCGTCGTGTACACCGACCACGCGTCGTTGCGAACCGCAACGAAGAGTCCCCATCTGTCCCAGCGCATGGCGCGCTGGCTCTCCCTTTTCTCCGAATATAACTTTGCTGTTCACTACAAGCCAGGCAAGACGAACATTCTTGCCGATGCTCTCTCGCGTCGTCCAGATTACGCTCAACTTGGCCGCCACGCGATTGGGGACGTAGACGACGACGAGTGCGCCGTGTGTTCTGCTGAAGATGTCACTGCGATGGAAGTAGCAGCGACCACTTCGTTGCGCGACGCGATGTTGGCCGCGTACGCGTCGGACGCGGCGTGCTCCGAGCTGATCACGTTCCTACATAATCCGTCGGCGCCAGCGCGGCGCCGACTGTCCCCGCGGGCCCGATCCCGCGTGAGCCGCTTTCGCTTACACGAAGGTTTGCTGACTTACAGTGTGGACAACGAAGACTCACCACGCATCGTCGTCCCGCTGGATGATGATCTCCGCGCCCGATTGATTCACGAGTTTCACGATTCTCCCAGTGGTGACCATCTTGGACGCGAAAAGACCTTCGCGTCCCTCTCTCGCGATTACTACTGGCCGCACATGTACAAGTGGGTGCGTAAGTGGGTTCGCTCATGCGAAGCGTGCCAGCGCGTGAAGCCTTCCCCGTCGAAGCAAGTACCGCTTCGACCCCTCCAGGTGGCCTCGGAGCCGTGGTCCTCCGTCAGTATGGATTTCGTTTTCGGCCTTCCCCGCGACGCCCAAGGTCGCACTGGCATACTCGTCTTCGTCGATCGATTCAGCAAGATAATCCATCTTGCTCCAGTCGCCGCTACGGTCACCGCCAAGCAGTCTGCGGCGACGTTTCTGGATCTTGTTTATCGCCATCACGGCTTGCCAACATCGATCGTTTCCGATCGCGATCCCCGCTTCACCTCAGCTTTCTGGTCAGAGATCTTCCGGCTTGTCGGGACGCGGTTGAAGATGTCCACCGCGTCGCATCCGGAAACGGACGGCCAGACGGAGCGTGCTAACAGGGTCGTTGAGGACGTGTTGCGGAGCTTCGCCACGTCATTCACGTCCTGGAGCTCGTTCCTTCCCATGGTCGAGTTCGCGATCAGCAATGCGGCTCACGCATCGACGGGGCTCTCTCCATTCTACGTGAGCTACGGGCGCCATCCCCGCGTCCCTGCCCTCCTTGGCATGGATCGTCGGTCCCCAGTCGAATCGGACGCGGTCACGCCCGCGCCTGTACCCCCACCCAACAGAACGGACGCCTCCGATGTTGCCCCATCAGCGCTTCCCGCTGACGATAGTCGTGAGCAAGCTCACGACGTCACCTCCGCGATTTTGAATGCTGTCACCACCCGGCGTGGAGCCGCATCTGCTGCGCCAAGTGTGCGCACGCGTGGTGCCACGGAGGCAACACCATCTTCACTGACCACTTGGACGTCCCGGACGCTGATTAACCCGCGTCAGCATCGCCGCGCAGTTGAGTACCATGCCGCGACAGGCTCAACCGCTTCACCCGAGCCTCCGCCCGCAAACTTCGATCCGAACCCTGAATCGCTACCGCGTGATGCCGCGGCCGCTCTTGCATTCGTCCAACGACGCGAGTAGGTAATCCGCTATGTGCGCGACGCCATCGCTATGGCGGTGGATTGCCAGAAGGAGAACGCAGACCAGCGTGGTCGCAAGAATCTCGCGACGTTTGCAGTGGGCGATAGTGTTTTGCTATCCACCGACGGCATTACACCCACTTCTGTGACGAACTTGGGCGCCAACAAACTGGCGCCGCGATATATCGGACCGTTCAAGATATTGAAGGTATTAGGTGACGCGTATACACTTCGACTACCTACAGCACTACGCCTCCACCCTACCTTCTACGTTGGTCGCCTCCGCCGCTATCACCCTTCGTCTATCCCCAGCGACGCGGATGGTTCCCCGCGTCCGGACTTCGGCGATCATCCCGAGGCTCGTCCTGACGTCGCACGCGATGGCGCAGCTCTTGATTCTCCCGCTCCAGATACTCCACACGCTGAAGCAACCGATCCAGACGCTGCGCGGTCGCAGCGTCTTCCCGCCGTCCGCGGTCCACCCATTCAGCGTGACGGTCCCGCTCCTCTTGTCGATAGTGCGGGTAATCTTCGTCATATCGTTGACCGTATCTTGGAACACGGAGGACCCTCGTGCTGACGCCCAACCCTGCTCATATCGAGTTCCGCGGCGCTGATCGCCAATGACGCTGCCCGATCCCTCCGCTCCAGCGCTTACCTCCGTTCTGGGAGCTTCGGCCCCCATAAAGGATTAGTTATGAAGCCTCGTCCCATCCCTTCTTGTCGTCGTTTCGGGCTGGCGTAGCGGAGGTACGAGGGCTGGTCTCGTACCGGCGGCCGATCGTCACGCGGGCGCGGCCGTCCGCCGCGCCTAGCCTCGTCGAGGGCCCTCAAGTAGCGGCCTATCACACCACGCTCCACTTCGGTAATTGCAGCAGCTTCAAGAACACGACCCCCATTCTGCGTCGTCGGGTCGCGAGACACCACGCTCGCGACAACGCTGACACCCATCCTCTCGGTGTGCGGTACAGCACCGGCGGCCTTGGTCACTGGCCAGTATGCAAACTTGAGCGGCCAGCGCGCTGACGGACAGCCGCGAGTGCGCCGCCTCGCGCTCGAGCAGCATGCGCTCGAACGCCTCGCCTCCTTCCTTATTCCAGCGGAGCACGAACGAAATCCACGCTCGATCCAGGGACTGGAGTGTCACGGTGGCTGTCGCCGTGACGGGTTTGCCTCTTGTCGCGCGGAACCTCTCAAACAGCCGTCTCATCTCGTCATCACTGCGGGCGTTCACGAAGGCGCTGCAGTCGTGCAGCGCCCACCTCTCCAGCGCCTCCGCGTACGTGGTCGAGTCGTCGTCTCGCTCGCTCATCGATACCCAGTTCGTCGCGCCGTACCAAAAGGAAAATGCTGCGTGCTTTCTCTCTGAAGTGGGGGATGGTGTGACGGGCCCATCGTCACACATCGCCATCGCACTCAATGCGATGGCCAATCAGCTTGTAGAACACATCTACTGGTTGGCGTGGTCCGAGACCACGCCGTTAACTTTCAATACATCTCAGAGTCTAATTTGCCTGCTTCCTCACGCACAGTGTACGTAAGGTAACGGGTTGCTGAAAGCCCGTTACAATTTTACTTCAATTGGTAGCATACAAAGTAATATGTACTATAGCACAGCAATGAGCAACCATCGCGTCCTCAAACGTAGAGGTGGGGAGGGTGGAGACAGTGGTGGGCGGTTGCCTGCAACGTCATTTGTTCACGGTAGCTGCTGCTAGTGCTGCAGCGCAACCACTGACCAGCACTATAGTGATATCAACGGCTTCGGAGTCCATTGATTCAGGTTCTAGTTATAAAATGAATGGCAAGTAGAACCAAACTGTTCTGAAGCACATACGTGCTCTAGCCAAATCACCTCGCTGCATTGGGTCTGAAAGACAGCGTGCTAGAACGCGACAGATGAAAATAGCACAAAGTGCCCTGATATTTTGACCTTTAAAACGAAATTAAACTTTCAGCGCAGAATGCGTGCCAGTACCTGAACCAGGGCCTGAATGCGACAAAGCACTTTGTTGAAAATGCTTTCTGCAGTATTTCTTTCTAGTTTGTAGGTGATGCGCGAAATTATCGGGCACCTACCACAAATTAAGCTTCTCCACGCATTTAAACGGATCGTCCAATCATTTCAGACGTGATATGAAAGTTCTAGCTAATATCGAACTTTGTGGAACTTTAGCGTATCGATAGCTCATTTTCCACATGAAAACCCACCGATTAGCTGTACCTATTAAAAATAAACCGAATGGTTCTAATACTTAAATGTGTACCACATTAGAGCCAAATGGTAAAATTTACCAATGGTAAAATTGACCATTGGTAATTTTGTAATGTTTTGTGGGACGGAGGTACCAGCGAACTTCTCGCTGCGTGTGCTACGGTATTCACGCACCCCCCCCCCCCCAAGAAAATATGAACATATTCAAGTCGACCGGTAGGCACTACAAAATACAAACTACACCGCATTTTACAGAAACAAAGTGCTCTTATTAAACTTGATAATACTTTAGCGATAGTGTGCGAATTGTTTTTAGAGACCTCAATAGGGGCAGCCTACAGAAACATTCCTTCTAACGTGGAGCTTTTCGGCTTAACCTGTTTTACAAAGTAGGCTACACAACAGCGAAATCTGTATTAACCGTAACAAAAGACTACAAGACAGAAGTTATCAAAAATGATTAAAATAAAAAACATGCAAACCTTAAAAACGCATATCGTCTCTGCCAATTTTTAGTTGGTGTGGGTCACACTCTACAAAACCCGTTTTCTTTGCAGCAGACTCATTATACAGACCCGCACGACTGCCGGCGCTGTGAGGTCGGCCGCCTTTTAAAGCGTAGCAGCTCTCCCCCTGTCCGCTCGAGGGCATGAGCGACATTCCCATTCAGTTGGGCCACTATCGGCTGGGCAAGACGCTCGGCATCGGCTCATTCGGCAAAGTAAAGTGTGCGTTTTGTCATCTCTTTTTGCAACTTGTTGCCTCTCGATTAGGTAAACTTTGCCACTTCCGCACTGGCAAAAAAGCAACTAACACAGGTTGCCATCTACACAGTGGCCGAACATGACATCACAGGCCACAAAGTAGCCATCAAGATCCTCAACCGCAACAAGATCCGCAGCCTCGACATGAGCGAAAAGGTGCGACGCGAGATCACACTGTTGCGTAAGATGCGCCATCCACACATTATCCGCCTGTATGTGTATCCCCTCTTCGTATTGCAATATTCAGGACCGAAGTATGACAATAACGTCGTGTTGCCGCATTTTTTTGCTAGATACGAGGTGATCGACACGCCCACGGACATCTTCATGGTGCTCGAGTACATTGCAGGCGGAGAGCTCTTCGATTACATCGTGTCTAAAGGCCGAGTACGTTGCTAAATTTTTTTACTTCCATTATTTAATTTTTAATTAATTTTTTTTTATTTTTCTAGTTGGCTCCAGAAGAAGCGCGACATTTCTTCCACCAGATCATCTCGGGAGTGGAATATTGCCATTTCCACCGTATCGTACACCGAGACCTGAAGCCCGAAAACTTGCTGCTAGACGCAGACAATAACATCAAGATCGCAGACTTCGGACTGTCCAATAGCATGGAAGATGGAGATTTCCTGCGCACGTCGTGTGGCTCTCCCAATTACGCCGCGCCCGAGGTGATTTCTGGCAGTCTGTATGCTGGTCCAGAGGTGGATGTGTGGTCCTGTGGCGTCATTCTGTACGCGCTACTGTGTGGCAGTCTTCCGTTCGATGACGAGAGTATCCCCAATTTGTTTAAAAAAATCCGTGGCGGCATGTACTCGCTGCCCAGCCACCTGTCCGAGATGGCGCGCGACCTCATCCCGCGCATGCTCGTGGTGGACCCCATGAAGCGTATCACGATCCCGGAGATCCGACAGCATCCCTGGTTCCAAATCGACCTCCCACCGTATCTGCAACATCCACCTGAAATTGTGGAAAACCAGGTATTTTTTATCATTTTTATGATGAAAAATATTCGGATTATAATTCTGACTATTTTTGCATTTTTGCAGACTTTCAAGATTGACGACGAGTGCTTGTCGCAGTGTTTGGCACTGAGCTACGCCGCGAATATCGGACATGACCAGCTGGTTGCGTTGCTTATGAGACGAGAGAATCATCCGCTTCGAGTGGCTTACGAGCTGATCTTAGATCATAAGAACGCCAAGATCCGAATCGATGGTGTGTGTCACACTATATTTTGTGTATTTGTGACCGATTATGAGCTCACATGTTCGTGTTTTTGGGTACAGAACTACGTGACGTTCGGACGGTGAATAACAAGCCCAAGACGTTCTCGACACCTGAGCCTAGTACGTTGCTATTACCAGGGCGAGGACCTCTTCCCATGGCTGCATCGCCCTTGATCACGCCGTCATCAGCGCTCCAGGATCCTCGGAATTTCGGTGGTCGTGGGATTAGTATTCCGGGACAAGCACCTCGAATGTCAACAGGAGGCAACGGTATGCCCGGCTTTGACGACGGTCACGGCGGCGCAGCTCCTACCCCCAAGCGACGACGATGGTACCTGGGTATTCAGTCGAAAAAAGAGCCCGCTCACGTCATGTCGGAGGTGTACAAGGCGCTGTTTGTGCTCCACTTTGAGTGGAAAGTCGTGGCGCCGTACCGTGTAAAGTGTCGATGGCAATCGCCTGCAGGAGACCCCAATGGAGGCGCCGTGATGAACGCGGAAGACGCGAAACTGCAACAACAGATGCAACGCATCAAGATCGGCTTGCAGCTGTACAAGGTGCAGCAACACATCTATCTCTTGGACTTCCAGCGTCTGGATGGCAATGCCTTCACGTACATGAACCTCTGTGCACGCATCATTACGGAGCTCAAGACGCTCTCGGGGATCCGACCGCTGGCTAGTGGCCACGACCCACGCTTTGGAGATGGCAACATGAACTCGGTGCACTTACACCAGCACAATCCACACGCTCAAGGCGCTCAGTGAACTTTGTGACTTGCAGAAACGTATGTTGTCATCTTTTGGCTACATGTTTCGTTTAAAACAACCTCCAGGACTTAATCATGTTACCTCTTTGGTTTTATACATTGCATTCTGCTAATGTGCGAGGTTCAAGATTGACTGCTAATAGGCCCAGACGGGAGCATTTGGCTTGACGGAATCGACACTCGTTCCCGTATAATTGGCCGTTGGAAGCGCAGACAGGACTGTACGTCTGTGTGCAGGTAGCTGGACATTGTGGCATGACGTTGACGTCTTCGCAGGACCCGGAACGGATCAGTATTAGACTCTGGTTGCAACGTTGTTGACGTCTGAAGTAACACAAGTTTTGCATTGTTCCTGCACTTGTACACACCGGATCTAGCACGGTAGAGCAGGTTGTACTTGTAGTTGCGAGGCAGTTGGTACTGGGGCTTGTTGGTGGAGGGTTATACTGCGTGTTAAGAGCCTTTTCAGCTGCACAAAGGCCACGGAAAATGACGTGTAGGTCGGTGTTGCCAGTCGAACAGCGAGCTTCTTTGAGGAAGCACGAGTTGGCGTACGAAACGTTGTCCGAGCCACAGACTGGAGAGCTTATGAGTTGACAATTGAGCTTGCATGTTGATGTGGGCGTGGTGATGATGGAGGATTGTTTTGGCTCGCAGACAGCTTCGGGTAGACAGGGGGCACTTGCACAAGGGGTCACGCCACGTAAGATACACGTTTGATCGTCGCCGCATCGACCTGGAGCGCACAATTGCGCGCAATACTCGGCGTTGTTGTACACGAAACACTGCTCGTACTGGCCACAGACACGTGCACAACTTGTTGGGAGTGTAGCTGCGTCAATTAGACGTAGCCACAGCAAGATCCATGTGATAATTAGTAAGAAATAACTCTTCATGATTCGATGCGACGTTTTAAGGTTTTCACAAATATTTCGCTTACCCTTTGAAAGTTTTGGACATTCTTTCCTATTTGTCGTAAATATTTCGTTTACCCAAAGAAATTGAAGTTAGCATGTTGTTGGACGCACAGAGTTGCTGCAGCATCTCGAGTTGTTGACGTTGCATGGCTTCCAGTCGCTTGTTGGACTCCATGATAGCGTCGAGTTTCGCCATGCTTTCATCCTTGTCACTCTGTTGTCGCCCCGGAAAGATGGAGCCAAGTCGAGTGTTGTCACTCGAGCAAGTAGAAACGTTGCCCTCTGTCTTTAGTCGCTTTGGCAACGTTAAATCTTCAGCTACAGACTCGCGTTTTAGTCGCTTCTCTTCGACTGCTGATAGCAGCTCCTGTACGTCTGTACTATCGTTTTCTTCCTTGAAAGCAACTTTCTCTTCCTCCGTCCCGAAATTTTCCTCTTTTCGGACAGTTTCTGGTGCTCGTCCGGATAACACTGGGTGTCTCTCTTTAAACCTACGCAGCCATCCATCCTTGAGTTTCTCGCCAGTTTCTCCCGTTAGTGCATAGTAATATTCGTTCGCTCTAGCTAGAATGTCCTTCTTGGTGACTGTTGTGCCCTGACTTTGCATGGCTAGAATCCAAGTTACCAGCTCCTGTTCCGGTTCTCCCTCTAGAAGAGGCCTCGGCCCTCTTCTCTTATCAACTTCCCCTCGTTGAACGCGTAACACTCGACGACGGATTGTGCGTTGATGTAATAGTGGGAAGCGCTGCGTCACTTCGCTCATAGGTCTCCCTGCTAGATACATCTCCACTGCTGCGTCCATGTGCTTCCTATTGTATTTCCTGGTCTTTGCAGGACCTTCTTCTGCATCATGTGTGGCCTCTGACTGCTTAGTGGCCTCAGGGTCGTCGGAATTCTCCTCTTTTTGCTCCAAAACAGGTAGAGTGGCGTCATTTAATGCAAATTTTACAGTAGAATCTTCGTTTGTAGCTGGCGCTGCGTTTTGGACCGCTGCTGCGCTCCCGGAGCGTAAACTGAGCTCGGGATGTCTCGCAATGAAGCGATTGCACCAGCCCATTCCCACCGTTTGGGATGGTTTTTGGTCCTGCGATGAATTTTTGTTCTGACGGAGCATTTCTTGAGCTTGCGCGATGACGTCGTCACGCGAAACGCGCTGTCCTGCGCTCTGTTTTGCTAGCACCCAATGCGCTACTTGCACCTCAGTTTCCATAGACAGCAGCGGCTTCGGCCCGCGTCGGCGCGCGGGGCTGTCAGCGGCAGCGGCATCCGTGGTCTCCTTGCGCGGCATGAAGAATGAAGTTAGAAATTGAATGGAATTTTTCAGACTAAATTTAGCTTCTTAACCTGATATTGTAAAATTTACCAGTATTCCCTAAAACGTTAACAAAAAAAATGTTGAAGCCTTTTTAAATTTGTAAAATATTCACTAAAAAGACACTGGAAAACCTACGTCGATTCTCACGCATGCAGTACAAAAATCTACGCGTTAAAGCTAGCCACTCGCTCACAGCAAGTAGCTTAAAAGTTGTACTTTTTGTTCTCCAGCACACGACGCAGCATCCAGTCGTCTGTGTCTTTCACACTCGCGGAAGTGAATGCACCCATCATGGAGATCGAGGACAACGTCGTTGGCACGCTGTTCCCTCGTCGTTGTCGAGATGTTTTGTTTTGTTTTGTTTGGTGAGGTGTATTGTGTTACCAGCTTGCTGCCTGAACTCTAATAACCATTCCCGACTAGCTTGTGTTGCACCGTCGAGTTGTCCTTGCTCCTCTCCTTCTGTGCTACTTCTTCCTTTTGTCTTCCGGGCTTGCTATCTGGTGCCTGGATCACGTTCGCTGCTCACTCCTTTCCTCCATTGGTTGACGTCCCCTTGTATCCACATCTCCGCCAATGTTCTCAGTTCGTGCTCCATCCCCTCCGCCTCCGCCGTGAACATCACGCTCAAAATCGTCGTCGAGATGTTCCAACATATCGTCGAGATCCACCTGCTGACCCCAGTAGGTCCCCCAGCCGCCGCCAAGACCTTGCGTGGGCCATAAAGAGATATCGAAAGGTTTGCCTTCACACCCGCTGGACGTCGACCATCCCCCGGGTGACCCATCCAACGATCGATAGCATTTGTCGGGACATTGAGGAGAACCGTCTTTGGCCAGGTCTCCGATGTAGAGCTTCCCCATTGAGTTATCCGACCAGCCTAATTCCGAGGCTTCCTTCGCAGCAAAAACCACAATATTCACCTTGATCTCGTCGTATGGCCAGCAGTTGTAGCCGATCAGCCAGCGATTCCACGCTGCGTGTTGACGAGTCAACACGGGCTGGAGCTTCTTGGCGATCTCCTTAGTTAGTTTGGTGCTGCTGCTGTCCCAGCGGATGCAGTAGTTGATGGTTCCTTTATTGGCCACAAGATGGTCTAAGATCCAGTTGTTGTACACCATAACTTCATCTTTGATTCGGTTGTCCCAGACCCACTGCAAGTCCTTGGGGGAGATATAAGTGTCAGGATCGCCGACAATGCAACCCCCGGTCTTGGACCTGATGGTTCCGAACGTGGCGTGCTCGCGACTGCTAGTGTTACTAGATGTTTGGGCTGTCGGTCGTTGCTCCTGTTGACCTGTTTCAATCGTTGCCGATGTCGGTGTGCTAGACGATGAATCTGTCACAGAAATTTGTGTCTGTAACGAGTCCCCTTCTTCACCAACATTGCTGGAAGTCGTTGGCGTCTCATTCTTTGATGTCGCAGCAGGACGGTTCTCGAACTCCGCCGACGAGGTTGATGGTGGTAAACTGGGTTCACTAGACGTCGGTAGAATTTTAACGGGGTCGTATACAGGTCAGGCCTGATTATTGGGTCAGGTTCCATTTCCAACAGGATCTTCCTACAGAAGAAGAAGAATCGAGCAGTGAAGAAGATGACGAGGCTGTAGACGTCGACAGTGATGATGACAACGAGGGCGTCTCTGGTACTAGCAGCGAAGAGGACGCTGCTAGTACCAATTTGGGCGCAGGTGTGATCAGCAATGACAGTGATGCCGATGAAGGCGACACTGAAGCCGACCAACCTCGTGCCGCGCAGACCATCGTGGTCTAAGCATTCTAACCCAACTGCTTAGCTTCGTATCTTTCACTTCAATATGTAGCTTAGCAATTGGTCCTGTGTTTGGTAGGGCCGTCAGGAAACCCGCCTGACCCAATTATCAGGCCCTACCCGTAAACGACCCCAAAAATAGCTAACCCTAGACGTCGTCGGGGCCATCGTGGTGTAGATTCACTCGTCCGACCCACTGCACTCCAGGCTACCAGTGAAGAGGTCCTCATCCAAACCACTGCATTCAAGACTTCCATCCATTCCCAGAGGTCCGTTCTCCTGATCACTGTATCCGCTCGGCGGTGTCCAGCTTTGATCACCCATTCCGCTAGAGAGGTCACTTGTCAGGATTTACTGCCACTTGACGGATTCCACGCGGAGGATGTGTCTGTCGAAAAAGCGTGATAGCACCTTGTCTGGAATCATATGTAGCTGACGACGATGACTGATTGACTGGTTATCGTCCCCGAACCCCTCAAAGCCACAGCGAACAAGAAACAGTCGAGTC